AAATTATTTCAAAGTATTCACATTAAGCATATGTTACTTTTTTTTTTTTTTTAAGATTTTTATTTATTTATTTGACAGAGAGAGATATCACAAGTAGGTAGAGAGGCAGGCAGAGAGAGAGGGGGAAGCAGGCTTCCCGCTGAGCAGAGAGCCCGATGCGGGGCTCAGTCCCAGGACCCTGAGACCACGACCTGAGCCGAAAGCAGAGGCTTAACTCACTGAGCCACCCAAGTGCCCCAAGCACATGTTACTTTTATAAATAGCAAAAACACAAAAAAGTTATACTTGAGGGGAAAATGCATCGTTAGAAAGTGGTAAGCAACAGAAGAGAAATCTTAGAAAGATTAGGGCCCAGAGAGGGATAAGAACTGCCGTAGGCTGTAGAGAAGAACTTGTCAAACTTATGCGAGGCGAGGCACATGAACTTGACCTTGAAGAACCAGTAGGTATGATCAGCACATGGTAGTTCACACTGGAGTATCTGCATATGAAGAATATGCAAATTGTAGCTCTCAAACTGACTTCCTTCTCCTAGCCAGCTCACCACAGGCCACTTTACCCAGAAGCTGTGTTTTCAAATTTGTCTTGTAATATCTGCGCCATCCTATTTTGTCATTACAGAGAAATTAAAAGTCGAGTGGGTTTATAAGGAGGGGATTGTATTAGGACTCTTACAATAATCTTCCTATCCTTTGGCCCTGGGCCTCCCTTCTAAGGAAATTGGAAATGTAAGCCACAATTTGTTCAATGTAGCATTAATTATTATAATAAAAAACTAGAATTAAGTCTAATAACAAAAATACATGAGTGAGTGGAGTATGTGAGTGGATATTTCACAGCCTTAAAGGTGTCTACAAGGACTTTTTAATGACTTGTTGGAAGCTTATGATAAGTATAAAAAAAGAAAAAAACTCAGCCACAAAACCAAAATGGGGGGGAAAAAAGTCTGCTTGGAGCCTCCATATGCCAGAACTTCCTGTAAGAGGTTGAAGACATAGATCTTCATATCAGCACTAACAGTCCAACTTCCTTGATTATTGTATGATCAGGAGTTTGGGACAGAGGAGATCTTTAGTCATCTTTTGGGTTGTCTCTGATTAAGATGGTATTCTGTCAAAGATTTCCTGAAACAAATACTGGGCACTAGGGCCACCGCCTTTAGCGCCAGACAGACAGATAAACAACGGGGAAAGATGGAGTCTGTTCCCCAGGGGCTGCTGGGAGTAACCAAGTCTGGGTGTCACTGCACACACTGGGGAGAATGCCAGACCCGTTCCTGATCGGAGTTCCAGAATTTAATAGAAACTAAAGCAACCTGGAGGCATTGAGCTCTCCCACCCACTAGGTGGTAGTGGGGCTCATCAGAACGCTTCATTCCTATCCGGAAATTCGGGACTCAGACACACTGGTAGAAAGAAGCGCTTTCCTTCAGGGAAAACCACGTCCATATTCAGGGAGCAGCAACCCAAGAGTATGGTCCCAGGCAGACCACAGAGTAAACGTTTATGGAATAACAAGGGAGACTTGCATCATAGTAAGTGCCAACCTCATAAGACCCTGTCTCCTGGGGTTTGAAATTTTGTACTTTGCACAACAGAAGTGTACAGATGTTTGCATTTTTGATACCTGTCAGTGGTTATGGACATCGCCTAGCCTTGGGTCTTAAAGCCCTGGAAAGGTGAATAAAGGACCATGACAGCCTTTTGTTCCACATTTTTACTGCTGGGATTCCTGCTGGTTGACCTGCCCACCTGCCCTTGCTGGACTAAGGCAGCAAAGGTGATGAAGGTTGTGTGGGACGGCTGGGGGTGGGGGCATGCAGAGGGCGGTAAAGGCAGGGAGGGCCTTGGGCTGCTTTGAGGAGGCCTTCCTAAGACTTCCTACCCGTTTCCTGCTCTTCACACCCTTCTCATGCCCTTCTTTCCATGACAGTCTGTGCACAGTTCAAGGGCAACTGCCTTCTGCAGCTGTGGCCCAGTTTACCTGTGACCTTCATTGAGCCACATCCACCAGGCTGCATCTTTTCCATTCTTTCTTTGAAACAGCCCTATCTTGAGAGTTTTGTGACTTTATAAAGATAGGGTTTCTGACAATCACAAGACCACTCATCTCCCAACTGCGTAATCTCCCAATCTGTGGTTTAGATTTGTTTTGAAACAGTATTCGGCCCAGGTTGGGGGGGATTCCTGGGTGGCTCAGTCGGTTAAGCAGTGGACTCTCGATCTCAGCTCAGGTCTTGATCTCAGAGTTGTGCGTTCAAGCCCTGCATTGGGCTCCACGCTGGGCATGGAGCCTACTTAAGAAAAACAAAAGAAAGAATATTTGGGCCCAAGCTTGACTAGGTAAAACGACAAAATGATCTCAGATGTGGAGATTGGTTCAGGAATATGCCTTGTCTATTTTTAAACTGAAAATGTGAGGTAAGGGGGAAAGTGTAACCAAGAAGTGTTCTGTGTTTTTTTAATTTGCTTTGGGAATAGTATAATAAATGTGTCATTTTCTAAATCTGGATTATTCATGGCCTATTTTAAATCCCGGTCTGGCTCCTGACAGTCCAGTTCTCAGCAAGACCCTGGGTTGACTCCCCTCCTGTCTTGTCCTGGTATGGGCAGAAAATACAACCTTATTTAATAGCAGCTTCCATTGATTTTTAAAGTAAGTCAGCTGTGAGAATTCTCATTTTCTCAAACAAACTATTTGTACTTAGATCCTGTGTATTAGCCGGGTTGTGTCTGATAAAATGGGAGCGGTAAATGGGTTTTAAGCACCTTATTCTTGGCCTGCTGTTTTTACTAGGGAAACCAGGAGAAACCCTTCAACTGTCCTAGATTTTAAAATGCCTTTTAAAAAGTGCCTGTTCCGAGTGGGTCATGCCTCACCTCCAGATCCTGGTGACCTCCACATTCCTGTGGAGACAGGAAGCCTGGAAGCGTGAACAGCCACATGGCTGAAGACCCCGTGACCCCAGGTCCTGCGGCCTTTCATCTGGGGCCATCAGACTCTCCAGGTGTGCCAGCCCTGAAGCGGGAGGCTCTAGGTGCTCCTAATCGTGTCTGGTCTGAATGCGCAGTTCCCTGAGGTGCTGGGTGATGATGGAATGAAAGCCAAATAAAGGAACAAGAGGTCCTGCTGATTGCCTCATCTTCAGTGCTATTCCTCAGGGCCCTTCTAGATCTAGGGAGGATTTGGGAAGACTGCGGTATCACCTGAGGAGAAGACACAGCCCCTACTTCCTGTTAACTCTGGGCCCACAGACTGTTGGCCTCCGGCAAGGGAGTCTGTGCCCCTAAGGGCCTTTTGGAGCAAGGCCACACCACCTGGCCTCAAGCTTCCTCCCTGGGCCATCGTGTCCTCTCCCTCTGGAGGCAGGTAATAGGGCTACCATGGCCCTTTCTTCATTGCTCCGGACAGCCCCCTGCCTCTCCATTGAGGGGCCAGGATTGGGAACTGGAAGGGACCTGAGTGGTAATAACATAGGCTTCCTCCTCCTCCTCTCAGGTGGGGAAACTGAGACTGGAACTCAGATTTGGTGACTTGCCCACCCTTGGTAGCTTGTCCCTCCCGACTGCAGCTTCCTGGTGAGGCAGTGGGGTGGGATGGACAAGCAGTAGAAGGGGCTTGAAATTGAGTATCAGTTCAACAAGAAGAGTCCCAGGGGAAGAAGGAGAGCTTCGGCAGCACAGCACTGGGTTCCCCAGGCTCATTAAGTTGCTGGGGACTTTGTAGCATCCCCCAGGATTTCTCAGTCCTGCTTCTTTGGTACACGGCACTGGGAATGGTCTGGTAAAAGCTGTGGGATAAGACTGCCCTCTAGTGGGCTGGTGAAGCCATTGGTCCAGCCACTTTCCGGTCTCTCTAGGCTCAGTGCTACCTTTTTTTGCTGAAGCCCCATAGTGATTATTCCCTCAGTAGGAATGCCTTCAATTCAAATTTTATTCTTTGTCAAACATTCTGGCTCACAGAGTTGATCTCTGAACACCAGCCATTATTTGCCCATCTTATAGGAGGTTTGGGGTTTTATTTTTGTCATTGTTGTTTTCCCCCCACTGTAGAGGTATCTTACTTCTCTAATAAGATTCAGGTCCCTAAAAGCAAGGGTGATGTTTTATGTCTTGTTCTTCCCCAGCTGCCATCCCGTTGTCTGCTTAGCTGGACGTGAAATTAGAAGTTTCGCTGGGATAGAAAAGAATCCTCCCGCAAAAAAAAATTCCACCCCTTCACATTTGTTCCTAAAACATTCTCATCTCAGCTCTCTGATCCATAGTTCCCCAAGTGGTTGAATCATCTGAATCCCTCAGAAAACTTCCAGAACTCAGTTTCCTGGGCCTTCCTCCAGCCCCGCTGAATCAGTCTCTGTGGTTTGAGCCAGGAAATCTGCTTTACAAACTTCCCAAGTGGTTTTGGAAGTGGAGCCAGGTTTGGCAGCCAACTGCTCTAAATCCCCATTTACGATTTTTTTTTCATGGCTTTTTCCCTCAGACAGCATCTCTAAAGGTCTTCAGCTTATGTCAGTTATTAAAATTGACCATTCTGAAACTCCTTCGGAAATACTCGGTGTGCTGTTCTAACTACAGTCCTGGCTGACATGGGAAGGAAGAAGGACCACAAGAGAAGGACCAAAGGCGTTTATTTTGGTTGCCAGTGGCTCTGTGTTCATAGCAGAAAATACCGAAACCAATACCTTCATGCTGACTGGGCAGGTCATTGATGTGTTTTTCACGTTTGGCCGGACAGGGAGACAAAGGTTAACCGAGTACCCAGTTACAAACGTTCACCGGTTCTAACTCCTCTGGTTCTCAGATCAGCCGTACAATGTAGGTGGCATTGTCCCATTTTTTACAGATGGAAAAGTTGAGGCTTTAGGAAATTAGTAAGTTGCCCCAAGTCATGAAGTTGCTGACTGTCAGATTCTGCTTTCAAATACAGGTCTGATTGCTAAGACCAGCTTTGGAAAGGTAAGAGGACCAAGAGTGCCAACCTATTCTTTTTAACTCTGCCAGGCCAAGCGGGCAGTGCAGCGAGGAGCCACTGCGGTCATCTTTGACGTGTCCGAAAACCCAGAAGCTATCGATCAGGTAAACTCCATGGGCCACGGGGCATGGCTATCTCCCTGAGAGAGGCGCTTTTAGTTAGCTGGGCTTGTCGCGGGGGCATCCCCCTCACTTCAGGGCTCCGCACTTGTCTGCTGACACTAGAAACCCATGTTTAGACGTCATTCCTACTTGGAGGAGAGGGTATTGAGTAGGCGTGAAGAGCCAGGAAGTTGGTGGTTGGGGGCATTTTCAAAGACCCTTCCACCCTGCCCAGTCCGTCCTAAAAGCATCATTCTGCGCCTTGTCCTTCAGAAGCTCCAAGGCTGTAATGCTTGAGGTCTTTGAGGATTTTCAAATGGTTTTTACTGTTCTTTTCCTTCAACCTCTCTCCCTCTCTTGCTTCTTAAAGCAAGAGCGTCTTTTAACCAGACCTTTCTCTTCGTCCTCAGCTAAACCAGGGCTCAGAAGACCCGCTCAAGAGGCCAGTGGTGTACGTGAAGGGTGCAGATGCCATCAAGTTGATGAACATTGTCAACAAGCAGAAAGTAGCTCGAGCAAGGATTCAGCACCGCCCCCCTCGAGTGAGCCTCCGTCGGCCTCGGCCAGCCTCGCCCTGTGCCCTCTCTGCTGCTCCCCGAGCCTTTATTCCCTTTGGGCTTCAGGCTTTTGTTCCAGTCTTCTTTCCGTGTAAAATGCTAATGCAGCCTAGGTGCCTACAGTTTAGATCAGACTTCAGGTTGGAGGCCAAGGAGAAATATTACTCCTGTTTCTTTATTAGTATTATTTTTTAAGATTTTATTTATTTGAGAGAGAGTGCGAGCGAGCATGCACACAAATGGGAGGTGGGGGTCAGAGAGGGAGAGAGAGTCTCAAGCAGACTCCGCACGGAGCGCTTAGCCCCATGCGGAGCTCGGTGTCACCACCTGAGATCATGACCTGAACCAAAATTAAGAGTCAGACGTTTAACCGACTAAGCCTGCCACGAACTCCCCCCACAACCCGTGTTCCTTTAGAGAGGATTCGAGAAGACCTTCCAGAAATAGATTTTGTGCTAAGGGGTCTCTGGTATCTTCCGCCCAGCACTCCCTCTTGGTAGCTCCTGCCCTTCTTTCTCTTCCATCCCACCTCCCTCTGAAAGGCTGGGGAGGAGTGAAGGAAGGAGTACCTGGTTTCCTGTGTCCCCCTCCTTCCATTTGGCCCAGACTAGAGAAAAAGGCTGGTACTATAGTTCTTTCTTCCCAGAGGGTAAATTGCATTATTAAAAAGCCCTAACTTGTATTTGAGTCTGGAGCACTTAGCTTTCAACTGGGATTGAAGTTTATGTCTTGTAGGCGTTTGTTGAATAGCACAGTGGCTTCTCTGGAGCGTGTCGAAGGGACACTGCTGCCCAGTGACTCTTAAAAGGCATCTTCTGCCCAAACCTCAGGCTGAAGGTTCTGGGAACCTGGGACAGGATATAGACAGATAGAGAGATATGTACATACACACACATACATATATATGGTTTATTTCCTTATCACAAATATTCACGTATAGGATGACTTTTCGTACACACAAAACATCTAGATGCCCATAGCATTCAATTAGCAAAACTCTAATCCTCTTGGCTAACTGCGTGTCCTAGACAAGGTGGCTTCAAGGTTTCTGGAAGCAGTGTGCCCTGAGGAAAAGGTAAGGACTCAAAGTGGAAGGGATTTGCAGAAGAACCACCTTTGGTGGCTTCTTTTTAAAGGAAAAACGAGCGCTTTGCTGAATGTGACTCACCGTAGTGGAAGCTGATATTGTGGAAGCAGCATACAATTTTCTGAGTTGTTGTAAACCGTTAATTATATGGTTAGTAATCACTGTTCCCTCAAAACATGACACTCACTCCTTTGTCCCATAAATATGATATTTGTGTTTATTTGGATGGGCCTCTCCTACCGGTTACGGCGAACTTTGCGCTCTTCCACGGGAAGCTGGGCATTCCAACGGGCGTGCTCTTGGCCGGGACTGTGGCAGGCTGCCCCCGCCACACTGAGGGGGGCTGTCTGGGCCCGGGGAGCACAGCACGTGTGCAGGTTAGCAGAACCCCAGGTGTTGCTTGCAAATGAGGGGAGAGACACACCTGGGTCACCCCAGCCCTATCCCAGCCGGGGCTGACACGACCATGCACCAATCCCCAGTCTGAAGAGACCTGTGACTCATCGGGTGTGTATTCTGTTCCAGCAACCCACAGAGTACTTCGACATGGGGATTTTCCTGGCGTTCTTCGTTGTGGTCTCCTTGGTCTGCCTCATCCTTCTCGTCAAAATCAAGCTGAAACAGCGGCGCAGTCAGGTAAGAGCCCCAAGCAGCCCGTGAGCGCAGGTGCCCGCCGCCCTGACCCAGGTGGGAACCGGGGGGCGGGGGCCTGAGGGAGCGGCAGAGATGGAGCAAAATGAGAGCAAAGCTTATCACCCTGTGTCTTCTCTATTCCAGAAGGGCCAGAACCACAAAGGCCAAGCACTGGGAGGGCTTCCAGCTGGGAGGTTTTCTCATGAAATGCCTAAGTGTTCACGCAGAGCCCTAGAGCCTTGCTCCTCAGATAGAATCTGGGCACCAGCAGCATCCCCTGGGAGCTTGGCAGAAATGCAGACTCTCAGGCCGTACCCCAGACCTGCTTAGCCGGAAGCTACATCTTCCAAGCCCTCCAGACGATTCCCAGTGAACAGAGTAGCCACTTTCCCGCTCCACCTGACACATCACTGTGCTCGTAGAAAGGCAGGATTTGGGGGGCAGAGGTTGATGGAGAGGGTAAGCGGGAATCTAGACCATCCCATGTGTAGTGACCTCTCAGGAGACAGTGGATGCTGGCAGGCAGTCTGCGTGAGACTCACCTACTACTCACCAAGCGAGAGTGGTCATCAGTCCAACAATGACTCAGGGTCTTGCAGAGTTGACCAACTAACTGAAGTCGACCTCTGCTGGGACTGCCACTTGGGAGAAGCCTGGGTTCAAGTCGCTGACCCTCAGGAGTCTGGAAATCCCATGTCATGGCAGTCTGAATTTTTAGCGCCCTCTCAGAAGCCTGTAACATTGTGCCCGTCCCCGGGCACTGGTTGCCATGGCTCCAGGGGTGACTACCACTGTTAGTACATCCCGGACCCTAACACGGACCATGTTCCGCCACACAGAATTCCATGAACAGGCTGGCTGTGCAGGCTCTGGAGAAGATGGAAACCAGGAAGTTCAACTCCAAGAGCAAGGGGCGCCGGGAGGGGAGCTGTGGGGCGCTGGACACGCTCAGCAGCAGCTCAACGTCCGACTGCGCCATCTGCCTGGAGAAGTATATCGACGGGGAGGTAAGGACAGAGGCAGGGCCCATCCTGGCTGGGAACAAGGTAGACAGGTCAGCAGAGGCGAACACAACCTGGAAGGATGGAGCCCTAGGTCTTTGCCCACAGCTTTGCAGGAGCAGAAGGATGATGCCTAGGCCCCAGGGGCGTGGCCGGAGGCATCCTAATTGCTCTTCACCCTGGGAAATGGGTGGCCACAACTCAGAGACACTCTCTCCAGAGAGTGTCTTCCACCAGCTTCCACCCATGGCATTTCAGAAGTTGATCAGAAACTTATGGTAGGCCAGAAAAGGTCTGGTGTTAAGAACATTGACACGTATTGACTTAATTTTAGAATTACTCTTCTGAAAACGGACACTTAACTCAAAGCAAACCTCTCTGTGCAAAGCTGCATGGAACACTGGGTGTTTTGACTTGGGAGGCAAGGGGATGTGATGGCCCCTTTTTTCTTCTTTTTTTTTTTTTTAAGATTTTTACTTATCTATTTGACAGAGAAACACTGAGAGAGGGAACATAAGCAGGGGGAGTGGGAGAGGGAGAAGCAAGCTTCCCGCAGAGCGGGGAGCCCAATGTGAGGCTTGATCCCAGGATCCTGGGATCATGACCTTAGCCAAAGGTAGACGCTTAACGGTTGAGCCACCCAGGCGCCCCTTCTTCTAGCTTTTTATCCTGAAAATGTCAGACGTTCCGGAAAGCTGCAGGAGTCCTACAGTGAATGACGTGTCATTCGCCCGCAGTCACCCTTTGCTAACATTGTGCCACGCTTGCTTAATCTCCTCACAGGCAGAGGCGTGCATCCACACACATTTTGGGGAACAGGGAGCAAACCACTTCAGAATCAGCTGCAGGCATCCGATGCATTCCGTTCCCATGTAGCCTGTGGGGTGAACATGAGTTTTTGCAGAGGCCTTGAAATTAAGAGAGTATTGAATGGCCTTTAGGTGCAGACTTCCCGTATTCCAGTCCTGGCCCAGGCAGGTTGTAGCTTTGTGATCTTGGGCAGGTGATTTCATTCTCTGTGCCCACGCTTGGGACATGGGCCCAAGAGTGACACGGGCTTCAGGTGATCATGGAGGTTACGTGAGAAAATACAGGTAGAACTCTCCCACGGTCAAGAACAACATTAGGTATTAGGTTGAGCGTTATTCTGTTGAGCTGGTCAGAGCATGAAAAAGCAGAGTCACGTTCGCAAACTTGGGCGAGGGGTGCTTTGGCTCAGGAACTCCATAGCTAGTTATGCCTCAGAAAACCCCATCACCTTCTTCCTACATAGGCTGCTGTGTTATAAACCATGTTCTCTTGGGTGAGTACTCAGGGTCCAGCAAAGGAGAGCTTTGCCCCTTTGCTGCCGCACCTGTCAATTCCAAGTCCTGGACACCTTCCTTTCTATTCACCCCCAGTTGGAGGGACCGGAGGGAACCACCATCCCAGAGATGCATAAGGTCTTGGGGGCCCGGGGCTGCAGAAGCCATTGGCTTTGGTCTTCCCTCGTGTGTGGCATGAATGTGAATGCCCTCCTTGGGCAACAGAAAAGGACCCCGCTTCAGTGTGCTCCCTTCCTGAACGCTGAGGACTGTGGATGGGGCTTCCTCCTAGAAGCCAGACATGGGTGCTGACTCTGGGGCATGGTGTCCACCTGCAGCTAGAGACCAGGAGGGGCCTGAAGAGGAAGCCTTTGGTACTGGCTTCTCGGGCCATCCTGGACTCCTCAAGAGGAAGCACGCATGGGGCTGAAGGCAGGACCGCTGTCCACCCGGGCCCTGCCTTCAGGCTGCGTGTCCTCTCTCCCTTCCCAGGAGCTGCGGGTTATCCCCTGTACTCACCGCTTTCACAGGAAGTGCGTGGACCCGTGGCTGCTGCAGCACCACACCTGCCCCCACTGTCGGCACAACATCATAGGTAATTGTCACCATCTCCCCTCTTGTGGCACAGCCGCTTTCCCTACCAAGTGCTCAGCAGGAGTCTGGCATGTGCTATAGATAGTGAGCGAGCATTGCCCTCCAGACCTGGAGGTGGGGTAGGAGGGCCCAGGGTGTTGGAGCTCACCTGGCCCCAAACCCTCAGGAGAGCCTGACCTGAAGAATCGCCCCATGTTCACATTTTGGCTTTCACATGAGCCAGCTTCCTGACCTTGAGCAAAGCGGCTGGCCTCTGCAGGCCCAAGGTCCATAGTCTCTCCAGCAGGAAATGTAGTGATGGCACTCCGGTGCCCATTACCCTGGCGCTGTTTCCGTGCCACAGGAGGTGAGCGTGAGGGGCCAGGGTTGTTGTATTGCTCCTGCCCCCCGGCGGTAGCAGCAGACCAGGCCCGGATTGCAGGCTGTGCTCAGGAAAGCTGTTGTCCCCGAGAGGGAAAGTGCCTTTTGTCTTGGTGTCTTTGTGGCTGTCTGCATGCTCTATGAGCGTCTTCCTCATTCCGAGCCAAGGGCAGGCGGGAGATGGGCCCTACCAGGTGTGACCATCCTGCAGACGGGGGCGTGGGCTGGCCTCTGCCTGTGTGGCCAGGTCTGGAGACAGCCGGCAGGGACCCAAGTCCTGATCCCAGCCACGTGAGCGCAGGACTAAGCCCGCTGCCTTGTGCCCCGCCCTCACTGATCCCTCCAGGCCGTGGCACGAGGGTCCCCAGCTCTGCTGACTTTGTGTCCCCCGCCTTTCCCCAGAGCAAAAGGGCAACCCGACCGCCGTGTGCGTGGAGACCAGCAGCCTCACACGTGGCCGGCAGCAGAGGGTGATCCTGCCGGTGCACTATCCCGGCCGCGTGCACAGGACCAACGGCATCCCGGCCTACCCCACCCGCACGAGCATGGACTCCCACGGGAACCCCGTCACGCTGCTGACCGTGGACCGGCACGGGGAGCAGAGCCTCTATTCCCCACAGACCCCCACCTACATCCGTGGCTACCCGCCCCTCCACCTGGACCCCAGCCTGGCCCCTCACCGCTGTGGCCTGGAGCACCGGGCCTACTCCCCAGCCCACCCCTTCCGCAGGCCCAAGTTCGGCGGCCGCGGCTTCTCCAAGGCAGCTTGCTTCTCCCAGTATGAGACCATGTACCAGCACTACTACTTCCGGGGCCTCAGCTACCCAGAGCAGGAGGGCCAGGCGCCGGCTGGCCTTGCACCCCGGGGCCCAGCCCGTGCCTTTGCGGCAAGCAGCGGCAGCAGCCTGCTCTTCCCCACCGTGGTGCACATGGCCCCTCCGTCACACCTGGAGAGCGGCAGCACGTCCAGCTTCAGCTGCTACCATGGCCACCGCTCGGTGTGCAGCGGCTACCTGGCCGACGGCCCGGGCAGTGACAGCAGCAGCAGCAGCAGCAGCAGCAGCTCCGGCCAGTGCCACTGCTCCTCCAGCGACTCGGTGGTGGACTGCACCGAGGTCAGCAACCAGGGTGTGTACGGGAGCTGCTCCACCTTCCGCAGCTCCCTCAGCAGCGACTACGACCCCTTCATCTACCGCAGCCGGAGCCCTTGCCGCACCAGCGAGGTGGGGGCCGTGGGCGGCTCAGCCCGGGGGCCCGTGCTAGGCCTCGAGGGCTCCCCGCCGCCTGAGGACCTCTCGGCGGCCCACAGTCAAGGTGCTGGGCGAGGAGAGCCTTGGCACGGCCCCTCCTCACCCTCCGGGGACCAGCTGTCCACCTGCAGCCTGGAGATGAACTACAGCAGCAACTCCTCCCCGGAGCCCAGGGGGCCCGCTAGCTCTACCTCAGAAGTGGGGCTCGAGGCTTCTCCTGGGGCAGCCCCAGACCTCAGGAGGACCTGGAAGGGGGCCCGCGAGGGGCTGTCGTGTGCCTGCTGCTGCGAGCCCCAGCCCTCCGCCCTGGAGCCCAGCGGCGGAGTGGCCGGGGGCAGCACATTGTTCCTGGGCCCCCCGCTCTGTGAGGCCTGTGGCCCCACGGGCAGGGAGGCGCAGCCAGGAAGCTCCCAGGGCCTGTACGGCCTTCACCCGGACCATTTGCCCAGGACAGATGGGGTGAAATACGAGGGCCTTCCCTGCTGCTTCTATGAAGAGAAGCAGGTGGCCCATGGCAGCGGCGGGGGCCGTGGCTGCTGCGTGGAGGACTGCTCGGTCAGTGTGCAGTACACGCTCGCCCAGGAGCCCCCGCCTGGCTGCCCCCCAGGAGCCTGGGACTTGAGCCAGCGCATCCCCATCATTCCGGAGGATGTGGACTGTAACTTAGGCCTGCCCTCGGACTGCCAAGGGACCCATGGCCTCGGCCCTTGGGGTGGGACACTGGGCCCGGATGTCCTGCGACCCCACTGCAGCCTAGGAGCCACCCAGGAAGAAGAGCCGATTCTGTGCCACCAGGCCAGGGCTCCACTCTCGCCCGGCTGCCCTCCGGAGGGTGCAGAGGCCCCCGGGGCCAGCTTCCCTGGTGCCCCCCAGGACACTCAGGAGTCCAGTGCCACCGCCCCTGAGGCTGCAGGTGAGAGCAGGAGGGGACCGGAGGTCAGAGTTGGGGTCCTCCTCTTTCCGCTGCTTGTTTTCTAAGTGATTTCTCTGTGCCCTTGACCTCAGAGGCCGTCTGTACCTGATGACTTCCAAAGTAGTTCGTCCCCACCCCAACCCTCCTCTGCGTTCCAGACCCATTAGGCCTTCTGTTCCCCTGGTCCTCACAAGCATCCCGCCCAGTCTTGTCCACTGCCGCCCTCTCAAACTCCTCCCTCTTCGTGCCCCCCCCTCCTCCAGGCTCCCCACCCAGATGCTCGGGGCCCAAACCCACACTCTCCCAGAGCACCCCCTGCCCTCCATACTCCAGTGTCCTGGGCTTCTCAGCCTGCTGTGGGGACCACGTGGGCTGGTTTTTCACCACCACCCCCCACCCTGTTCAGAAAATCAAATCCCCAGAAAAGTGAAACTTAGCAAAGGACGTGCAGAATCCAACTCCAGGATTTTCATTCCATTCAGCAGACCTCATCAAGTTGCTATAAAGTTTCCAAACATTTTGTGTCAGTCATAAACAGTCCAGCACCTTGGAGTAGCACTACGACACGTTCCCCTTCCAAAGCATATCCCTAATTTCTTCTGTGTCCCCACCTGCCGTCTCCTTGGGTAGGCCCGTCTCCTCTCTCTGCGGCCAAAGCAGTGGCCTAACTGGTCTCTCACTGCTCTTGGCCTTCTGTTCTGCATGGGAGCCATGGGGGTCTTTTTTAAAATGTATCTTTACACTGTTGACTTGCCACTACCTCTAAATTTTAAAAAGGTGAACTCCTTACCACATTCTGTATGATCTGCCCCTCAGACCACCACCTGCTTCACTCACCTCCTTGCCCCTTGAACCTTCTGTGGCCTCTGACCTGCTTCCCCAATAAGCCGAGTTCATCCCAGCTTCCAGACTTCTCAGCCGCTTCTCCAGATCTTGGCTGAAATCATGCCCTCCACCCTCCAGGGTCACTGTCACAAGCCCTGTTCACTTCCCAGGTTATCGCAGTCTGAGGTTACTTTGTTCTGAGGTTTGTGGGCTCTGGGAAGGGATCTTCTCCTCTTCCCGGTGCCTGCAGTGGTGCCTGATGGCACATCTTCAGTATGTTGTAAGTTCATGCTACCTAAGGGCTTCCAGAAGTCTCTGCCCATCCAGATGAGGGAGACTGGCTATCTGCGAGGCACCCGTGCCTTCCTGCCTTTGCCATATACACGGTCTATCTGGTGTTCTGAGCTGTTATTCCCTAAGAGCCTGTGACACCAAGGATGGGCACCCAAGTCCCCCACCTGGACCCCTGTGTGTTGTGCCCAGGGCTTCCAGTGCCACCCAGGGCTTCCAGTGCCAGTTCTGTCCCCTTGATGATTTATTTGTATGTGTGTGTCTCTCTCTCTAGGACAGAGATCTCGCCCAGCAGACAGTGGCACAGGAGCCTGAGCTCAGAAGGAACTCTTACGTGGAAATGGGGACAATATGGAGACTCCAAGCTCTGACTTCCTTCAGAAAAAAATCTTTTTTTTTTTTTTTTTTTTTAGCTTTGACAAACACACAAAAGTGGTAATAAAGAGAGCCCTCCTTCTCAACCCAAAATGTGAGCCACCTGTGGCAAACTGCCCCCCACCTCCCATTAACAAACCAACAGACAAAATTCTCTGAGTCTTTTGCCTCTTTTGATAACATGGTATATTCTGTTTTGTAAAGTGTGTGTGCTTGGGGTCCCAAGGTGTGTGGGATTGAGTTCTCTGCTTTGTTTTTTAAGATATTATATGTAAATGTAAAAAGTTATTTAAATATATATTTTAAAGAGCCCTAACTGCCAACTTTTGCTGAAAAAAAAAAAAAAAAAGTAATCACTGCTGCATTAATTGAACCATATCATGTGTAGATACTGTTGTCTCCCTGGAGGGAGCTCAGGCCTTTGAAAAGCTCAGGGCTACACCTGCCTTAGAAAATGAACCAGAAACTTGAAGTAAAGCTAGTTGATATGGGTACAAACTCTGAGGAACAATGCAATGCTGCCTCTTTCTTTCTTGTGGCAAATCCCAGCGTACAGTTTCGGGTCTTCTCAGAAGCCATGCCCTCTCCAGCCCACACCTGTAGGCAGCTGACGGGAACAGCTAGGGATAGGGCGGAAGGTCTGCAGCTCTGAGGAGCTGGGACAAGCCATCACTACGCCAGCCCCAGGGTGACAGGGACAGTTCAGCCCAGTGTTCTTCGGTCTGTCCCTTTGGGTCATTGTCTTGGGTCAGAGGACAAGAGTTCACAATCCTGAACTCGGGCTTCCTGTGCCCCTGGCTGCAGAAATGGTTTGAAGGGCTGTGTGGGGACAGACACCCGGAAGGAACGTAGTTTTGCGACCTTAGTGTCTAGGGGGTGGAAAGTGCTCTCAGTAACCCAGAAGAGGGACAGAGGGCGCTAGAGCATGCCTGCACCCAGGCGTCTGTGTGGGCGCAGCCAGTGTCCTTGGGCTGCCTTCCTGGGGACCTCGCAGGGTCGGCACCAAGCTCTGTTTGAATGATACGTTTCCCATCCCATTTCCCTCTGGAAGCACTGCTTCGGGGTTATTCAGCCCTCTGCCTCATGGCCGAAATGGCCCATCTCGCCTGCAAATGTCTACTATCCTTTCTACCTAATGCACTATTATGTATTGATTCTCCAGGAGACAGAGAAAGAGACTATCAGATAGTTTAGCCCCAAAGGGTAGGTTTTTGTATATTTTTCCAGCCGTTTGCTGTTCTTGTTTTCAAGAGAGGGAGAGTTTTAAAACCCAAACCATTTAAAAAAAAAAAAAAGTGTTTCCATTGTAAAAGGGAGAATCTATTTAAAGCTATTTCAGATCAGGGACTGTCATCTTTTTTGTCCAATGTACTTCTTGTTCTTCCAAGTCTTTTTTAGAAGAAACCAATCGCATTAGCCCCTGTGTTCACTAACTCCTTCGGCCACTTTCATTCATTTTTATTCAGTTATCATCTGATATGCTCATCTGCAGAACAGAAACCTCGCGGCCTCGCGGCCCCCCCCAACCCCACCCCCCAAGTATAGTGGGGAAGTAAGAGACCGCCCAGGGTTGCCATCGACGACAGTGATGACCCCTTCTCCAGTCAGGCCAGGGTCCAGACAAGAATACTTTTGACTGAGAATCTCACTGTATCCCAATCTTTTTTGCCTTTTTTTTTGTTTTCTTTTTTAATCCAGCCCGTGATGAGGAAATTTACCTCCTCCTAGCCAGGCTTTGACAGAAAGAAATTCCAGCCTCAAACAATCGAACCAGTTGCCATTTAGGAGCTCAGTACGGTGAGCTTTGTCCTCCAGCCTCTGAGGTACAGTCCCCTGGGGGCTGCTTCCCGCCCCCCACCCTCGGGTCTATGCCCAGCACACCTGTTGGCGAGGGTGTGAGAAGGGCCTAAGCTGTTGACATGTGATCCGGCCCGCCTTGATTTCTCGGGCCAGGAGTAGCAGCTGCTGAGGACAACGGCTCGGCTCGCATTCCGTGGTTTTAGGGAAGGGGTGGGGGGGATGGCTTCTAACAGGAACTGCAAAAAAAAAAAAAGCAGCTTCTCATCGTTGAGATTTTTGTTGTTGTTCGTGGTTTTGTGTTTTTTTTGTTTTGTTTTGTTTTGTTTTGTTTTGTTTTTAATGCCTTTGAGTGCATGTTCTCTCCTTTGTCTAAAACCATACCCCCAAAGTGTCTTTCTTTAGCCTGGTCTGGGAAACTACTCCTCAACAGCCTTAAGCAATAAATAGAGGAGTAGGTAATGTGGCTTCCACGGGGCTTATTAAAATAAATGTGTCCAATTTTCGTTGGAAAGAGCAATAATTACGGATGGCAAAAAGAAACACATTTTTCTGTAGTTTACAGGGCAGGAGAAGCAGAAAAATGAAAATGTTAAAACTTTAAATATCAACCATTGTTTCGAGTTTGTATTGGCCCACCAGATGGGGAGGTCACCGGAGTATAGTGACCAGCTATATTCCTGCCTCACCATTCGAATTGAAAGAAATGTCTTCTTTGAAGTTGCAAGACTCCAGTAATGGCCTCTCAGGGGTGTGTTGGGGTCATATAGTCTTGGAGCATCACATTTTCCATGGAGAATTATCGCCCTCCACCCCCACCCCAAGCCAGAGTGACTGTTAGGCCTGGTCCCATGGCCCAGCCCTGGGTATAGGACAGCCATGTAAACTAAAGAGTACTGGAACCAGTTAAAAAAATGGGGGTTTGGGAGTTCTGATCAACAAGGTACCTCTTTACGCTGGCTCTTTCTCAATCTCCCGCCTCTCTCGAACCCAAGCCATTTTTATAAAGCCCGATCTGCTGTCCCACCACTCAGACCCTCCCTTATGTGCTGCTAGTTTCTACTCAAAGCTCATGCAGGACTAATGCTTTTAATAAAAAATGAGGTCTAAAAAATAATTACTAATCGGAGTATTATTTTTTAAACAGACCTGCCTTTTTCTATTCTTTATATAAACTCTATTGTGTTGGTCTAATAAGACACTATTTTGAAATGTTTTTTTTTTTAATTGCTCCCATAGCACTTAAAAGATATTTTGTAAAGACTTTGCTGTAAAGATTTTGTAATAAAATGGTCTAAGGGCTCCTTCTCCAACATTACCATTTTTTTTAATGTTTTAAAGGCTAGAAAACAACTTATGTATATTCTGTATATGTATAGCAGCACATTTCATTTATGGAAATATGTTCTCAGAATATTTATTTACTAATATATTTATCTTAAGCCATGTCTTATGTTGAGAGTGTGACATTGTTGGAATAATCATTGAAAATGACTAACATGAGGCCCTGTAAATACATGATAATTGCACACAGATTTTGCATATTTGCCGACCAAAAATGATTTCAAACAAGTTGTAGTCTTCTATGGTTTTGTAACAAATTGTACAAATGACTGTAAAAAAAAATACAATTTTATCAAGTATGTGTTACATGTTGTCATTGCTCTGTTTGGTAAAGGTCTATAGATCCCACCTAGGAGAGAGTGCCTTTAACTTCCTCCTTGTTCATGTATGCGTCTGTAGGATCTCTTCTCTTGGTAACATAGAATTCATGTTTTTGGGGCCCGGGATGGTTTCATGAGAGAGCCTCTGATAGAGAGCGTGTGGGATCATGTCCTTGGGGTGGTGGTGGTTGTTTTGCTAAGCCCTATGTGGAAGCAGTGAGGGAAACAATAGTCCACTTTCAAAAATAAGGAACGTGGGCTGTTGACTTCGTCAGCCTGGCCTTTTCCTACCTCGGAAGGCCAAGAGACCCCCAAACACTGAGCCCTCGACGTGACCTAGTTATGAGAGTGGAGAAGGACCATCAGTATGAAATGAATCTCATACCCATTTGTCTTACCTCCCAGGGCGGGAGTTACTAATTTGTAAAGCACTCTGAGATGATGTGGAAGGTGCAAAGCGGTGTTTATTTTTCAGACATCTAGCAGAGAACAGCAATATCCTAAGCCTGTGAGCTCCTGTTCCTATTTCTCTCTCTTGAATTTGGGCCACTTCTTGGGCACAGGCTCCTCGTGGACCCCCAGCTGCTTCCTGCCAGGCAGCGGGCCCTGAGCCCCTGGAGGAGTGGCAGCCTGGCTGTACAGAGCCTCCCAGAGCTTTTGTTTGATGGCCTTGCCCAGCTCCAAGCTGTACCTCTTGGGGGTTCCGGAAGGATTCCACAGCATTGGCTCGACCACCAAGTGGTACAGAGCCCTGTAACCCTCTGCGGGGAGGCCATGGATGGTTAGCTTGTCCTCCGACAACTGCTCTCTCTCTCCGGTTTCGGGAAGCAATGTCTGGCCCTTCCAGGCGGCTGTCCCAGTGTCCCCAGGCCGTGCTTGGGTGACAGCCACATGTTCAGCATATCTGCTCTCAAGATCTTGGCGGGCGGTTACTTTTTTCTCCTTTGAACTTTCTTTACTCTAGCCAGGAAGAAAGCAGAGAAGTCAAAGCTAAAACTTGAGAAGGGAGCTCAGAATAATTATCTGGGATTTGTGTCCCCGAGTCTTGGTTCCAGCCACCACCAACATTTGTCTAGAGTGTTCTGGTTTCCCGAATTCCTTCATGTACGCCACTGCATGCATTGCCCATAAACCCCATAAGGTCAGCAGGAGACCATTCTAAAGGCAAGGAAACGAATTGGTTGGCCGAAGCTGGCACGGTGAGAAGGTTCCTAACCACAGGGTCCTTTGCTGAATGCCACGCAGGATATTAGGAATTTACTCTGTGCCAGGCTCCGTTCAAAAACTTTGTGCATTATTATATTAGCTCAATCCTCATGAAACCCTATGGGGGGGGGGATGTTTTCCACATTTTGTAGGTGACAGAGACCAAAGAGGCTAAACCCACAGTTGTCCGCAATTATAGTTAGAGCTGGGATTTGAGGCGGGACGGCCTCGCTCTGAGGTGCCCTCTGAGCTCTGCCGGCCCCGTGGAGTGATGGGCCTCTCTGGACATCAGGTTCCCCAGGTGGAAGTTCATGGCAAGATCTATTGCTCACCTCCAGTGTTTGGGTGTGCGTACCTAAGGGCACCACCCATCTCCAGGCCTTTCCCTCCCTTATTTTCCCTTCATGTCAAGTGTTTACGAAAGCTACGCCATCCTCCTGTAGAACTAGGCAGAGTGTAAAAGGCAGAAGCCCAGATCTG